AATAATGAAGACATTACACAATTTTTTGGTGACTTAAGATCCATATAAATCTCATCTATAACCTAAATATATAAAATTAAAATAATCAAGTTTGTTTCATGAAGTTATCCAGTTACTAATACCTGAAGAATTAGAAGTTAATGCAAATATGCTAGAGTATATGCTAGACATATATATGATAATAATTTAATTCACAAAAAAGGTTTACTACATTATCACATTATATTACAGTATCAATAATAATAATTAAATATGGCACATTAAAATGTGAAACATTGGCACCAGTACGAATGTATTTAAACATTGCATCACAGACCTTCCAGCATTCTAGAAATATTCTTTAATTCACGTGATAGCAAATAGCAAAAAACATGCGAATTAATACAAATTACATTACATTACAATATTAAATTTATTACTTCAGGTATGTAAATAAATTAAAAAAAAAAACATACTATTGCACATTGTTTGTAGTTAAAATTTGTGGGAGTAGGTGTAGTGTAAGAATATTAGTGTAAGTGTGAGAGGTAGATGTTTATATATGTGCAGTATGCAATGTAAAGTAAAGGTGCATATGCTTAACGGCAATTAAAATAGCGTTTTAAGCACATTTTCGGTTGCCTCATAGTCCAAAGTTGAAAGCCAGCGTTCTAAGGATACTTTGTATTTCTTAGTGAACAGTGGATAAATGCAAATGGCCCTGTTGAAACGATTGTAAAGGACACACAGCTGATTATGGAAAAACTTTTCCTTGCGACAGCAGTTCTGTGTGGTTTCATTACACAGATACGGTCCGTTCTACGCCTATTACTTTGTACATACAGCTGAGCTGCCTAACAGTCAGCACAGAACACTCTTGATATAATTGTCGAGTCGGATATCTTAGAGGCTTACCTGTTAGTACCTTCAAAACAGCTCTCTGCGCTCTTTCGACTCTAATCATCTTGATAGAGCATGCTCCGCCCCATACCGAAATGCAATAAGATATTATAGATACATTAATACATATAGTACATAGTGTATAATATACTAATTTTAGGGTACTTTCATCAGCAGAAGATCTAAGCTTGTTAACTATAAAAATCAGCTTCCTGATGCATGAACTCACGGTCCCTATTTGTTTGTACCAACGAAAGTAGGCATCTATATGTACACCTTTTTTTTTTTTTTCGTGCGGAAATCCCCTCGGATACCCGGATACATCCCTTCCCAGTGATCACCTGCGTCAATCGGTATGAGAGGGTCCCGTGACGCCTCTCGAGCCAATCCTCCATAATGGGTCTTACCGCGGCGATGACGGCGTGCCCGATCTATATGTACACCTAGATATTTTATATATGCTGCCTGTGTAAACGTGAGGCAGCTACAGTCCTCGCCAGAATGGTAACAGTGGGAGGCTCTACTGTGATGGTGAACTAAAAGGTGGAAAAATAATAAATATCTGGTGTTTTCGATATTCAGTGTAAGCAGATTGGCTGTCAGCCACGCGATAACCGAAGATAACGCTTTTTCGGCGTGGTTATGAGAGATTCCAACTCTCCATTGACAATCAATGCTGTGTCATCTGCATAAGTGACGATTTTGCAGTTTGGAATTGCTAATCAACACAGGTCATTTATGTATATTAAGAAGAGAGTTGGGCCCAATACGCTGCCTTATGGAACGCCATAAGTAATGGTTCCCTCATTGCTAACATGGATACCAATCTTCATACACTGCAATCGACCACTTAGATAGCTTCGGAATAGGTAAAGAACAGTTCCCCGTATGCCTATAGCCACCATCTTATCCAGGAGAATGGGCACCGCAAACCATGTCAAACGCCTTTGACAGATCTAAGAAAAACATCTGAAATAATCGATGTGAAAGATTCAGCTGCGCAATTTGCATCCCTAAGGGCCGGAGATTTGCAGATGACAACGAAATAAAAGCTGCGGTCGATCGTCATTTTGAAGAAAAAGATACAGAATATTTTTGGGTGGGTTAAAGGCTTTGTATGCGAGATGTGAGAAATGAATTTCACTTTAAGGAGATTATATTGAAAAATAAAAAATAGAAACCATATATTTTCTTTCATTAAGTATCTTAGGCCGCGGACTTATCAGCCGTAATAGGGGCGAGCCTATTGCCGTTTACGGGGGCACCAGAGCCTCGTCCGTGTGTCAGCAGGTTCACGCAGGCGTGCAGGAGAAGATAACTTGGACTTGGCAGATGTTGATAGGCTCCCTTAGCACCCTTTATAAATTATACATTCATGAAATAATTAAAAATTGATTTATTTATGTTGTAAAATAATATATGAAAAACAATAATTCACAAAAGGTTTCATGGGTAACACTTGTGAACATAACGAGAAAGAAACGACAATTTTGTTCCATAATTTTTTTATGTTTACACTTTTTTTACCATGTTACACTGAAAATATTGAAAAATGCATCTAACAAATATTATTCTAAATCAGATTTCCTGTCCTATAATTTTTTTTAAGCCAGGTGATCCACTTTTATGTCTAAGTCCACTATTTTTCAAAACGGGACCGCTATGTGGCGACATAGGATATAGTTCAGAGTTGTCCTTTTAATAGAAACAAATAGGCTCTGTAACCCCTGTTTTAATAACTCCAACGTTGCAAGTATCTCTTAAAATGAAAGTTACACCAATAGCGTCTGATACATTCGGAAATTATTATGCGGTTTCGACGGGACCGCGTGCCGCCAGAGAGTGGGGACCTCTAGTGGCAAATTAATTGATGCGGTATGGGAAAGGATGGCGGCCTGATCTCACCAAAAATGTGATCGGGCGGCAATTTAGTGATAGGATGATAGGCAGAAGCCTCTGGCCTCCCCTGGGTTTAGGGTGGGGTCTAGTCTTGATCTGGGGGGGACCTGAAATCAAATGACCCGGGTTCACCCTAAAGTAGGGCGCCTAAGGCTAGCTGTCGGTGTGGTTTTTAGTGGAAACACAACATACTCCTGACTCCTGTATCCCCAAAGGGCTCCGAAGGGATTTTACACTCTGTCACCAAAAAATAAACGTTCTGTTCTGTTCGCATTGTAAATTCAAGAAAATAACTCGCTAATTATACTTATTATGTAATCATTATACTTATTATACCAACAAAACTTCTAGTCCGCATAAAGTTGACAAGTTACATAGTTAAACTTAAAGAAATAATTACAACAAACAATATAATTTGTAGTTACGGTTAAATTAAATATATCCAAATGTGGTTACGAACAATATTCGTTTTAAGGCTTTCTCTTTAAAAGTAGTTTTCGATTTCCCGCTCCCGACTGAGTTCTTGCTTATTGTCATAGCCCTTTCGGACATTTTTACTTTTTTTTAAAGAACAGGGGACCAACTAGAATGCGTTTCCTGATGATAAGTGACTAGCGCTGCCTATCATCATCATTATCATCAGCCTTGAGTCCACTGCTGGACACAGGCCTCTCCTTAGAAAGGAGGTTTTGGCCACACTAGCCTGACGGGTTGGTATAGGGTTAGTTTCAAGTTTTCCTTCTTTTTGCAGTGCTGTCTTGCCCTGCGTAGTTTGTTCCCTTAGTCAGCTCTTACTACACCCACGGGATAAATAGTGGTGTTGAGACTCCGTATTCATAATCAGTCAACACACGACCACGCCGTGCATGGACACATGCAACCGCATACGCTGTAGCTGAAGAGATAAGCGCGTTGCCGCGCATTGAGGGGGGATACTCAAAGGTTGTTTTTAAACTACTCTAACATCACTCACTCGGTGAAAAGAAACGAAGAGAAATTCTCGACACCGGTTTACTGTGGGGCCGTGATTTTACTCCAGTCGCGCCGGCTATTACGCGCCGAAGTACGGCTACTTAGGTAGGACGTTTCATGAAGAGAGAAACAGAAATCGTGTGTGCATTTCCTAATGATCGGGCAGTTAAAGTGTAAAGGTATAACAGACAGACAATTGGGTTATAGATATACTTTTTCTTAGAAAGGGTATAGCAATATCTAAACTAAAAAGGTATGCCATACCCCGTTGGCATACCTTTTTTGTTCCCGTTCCGGAACTATTTAGTTAATTTAAACATAGAAATAAACAAAAATTCTTTTTTCTTAATAATGTTAAAAAAAGCTTTATTTTCCACTTCATTTCTTTTCGACCGTTTTATAACTTTGCCTGCAACTTACAAACTAAATCACCCGCTGTTTAATTCGCAGAATTATGTTGTTAGAAAGTTCTATTTAACTTTGCCGGCCCCGTTCATTTCTGTGTCTCCGCTATATGTATATACATACTGTGTGGTCAAATACAGGATTTGACTTTATTGGTAGGTACTAGGTGTATCTTTGTACATAATATATGTATTACCTTAGTAAAATTTTCATAACAAGGTTATTATTTACTTTTTTCATAGAATTTAGGTAAAAATATTAAGTCTAGGCTAGAATTAAAACTAGGAATCAAATATTATTCATTTATTCAAGTTTCGTCCAGGTTGTATTAGCCGTGTAATGTAACTTGGTTAGATAATTCCTGAATAAATCATTATAAATATCATGAACGCGAAAGTTTAAAAGTTATAGCAGTAGATTTTTCAGTAACAGCCATCCGTGTGGTGACGGATTAAGAATACGATCATTCCTATTCATCCCGTGAGTGTCGTAAAAGCAGACTAATGGAGCAAAATATGCAGGACAACAGCACTGCCAAGAGTAGTAAAACTTGAAATAAACTCTATAGCAACCCGTCTGGCCAGCGTGGTTTACTAGGCCAACACCTCATTTATAAGGAGGCCTATGTCCAGCAGTGGACTATTAAAGGCTGTTGGTGTGATGTGATTATTTCAGTACTATATTCAGTTTTGGTTGTTTTGCTTCATTTTATATATAACTTTTCTGCATTTTTCTATGCATAAACTTTAAGTATTAAAATTGCCGCTCCTTTGTTGGCAATGAGGCTTTAAAATACATAGTTTAGGTGTGTTAATATTTTTTTTTAGTTACAGATAAGAAGTAACATGAGTTCACGTAATTTGAAGGAATTGTCTCAAAGTGAAACTTCTATTCTTGTTACATTAATAAACGGTTTGAATCAAAATATAGGACTGCCATCCTATACATGTACATCCAAGCACAAAGTGTACTGGTTCTTCAGAGTTGCAGCGATATGTTTTATAATGACTTTCATTTTACAAGGAATCGCTCTTTTTAAAGCCAAAGATGATCCAAAAAGGCTCTTTGAATGTTTCAGCATCCTCGCCTTTACTACCATGGGAATTTTTAAGCTCGGCTCGTTGCAATACAATCACAATCGTTGGGGATATATCTTGAAGCAAATTTGTCAGTTAGAATTTGAACAGCTAAATAAACCCATTACTTCAGATGCGGACTACCAGTCCGATGACGAAGAAAATATACATTTTTCTGAATACGTAAATAGTTACACAAGTATTTTCAAAACAACTTTCAGCAGATTGCGTAAAATGTATTACTTTACTTTACTCATCTTTATATTGTCACCATTTCTGGAACCTTTATATTGTAAAGTTCGTGGTTTAGAATATTCAGGGTATCCGCATATACTACCAGGATGGACACCCCTGGACAATTTCAGTATTTTTGGTTATTTGGCAACAATTTCATGTGAATTCATAGGAGCTATTTATTGTGTTTTCGTTCATGTTACATTTGACTTGACAGCAGTAGGAATTATGATTTTTATTTGTGGACAACTATCTCTGCTGCACAGTTATAGTGCAAATATTGGTGGAAAAGGAAAGTTTTGTATTATTTCGAAGCTGAGAGATGAACGGGCCCGTTTTAGGATCAAGAATTGTCACCGGTTACATTTAATTCTTGTTAAGTATGGTTCTTCACTTTTGTTTATACTTTTCATAATTATGGCAAAGTAAAATTCAGACTGGGTTACATTTTTTTTATATTTGCAGTTCACTAACAGAGCTTGACAAGTTGCTTAAAAATATATTTGGAGTGTACGTCTTAGTCACTACACTAACACTTTGCTTCGTGGCACTACAACTAAATTCTGTTAGTATTCAATCAAAATGTTTAATTAATTGATAAATTTATAACGTTTTACTTATTTGAAACGTCCAATTTTGATCAAAATTTAAAACTTAAAATATATATTTTTATCCATTTCTATAAGTAGGTACTTGACCATCGGTAACCTGGTAAGCTTAGACTTTCCTGACCTATTCAATGCTTTGCTTACTTATTCAAACCATACGTAAGAGCAATATCCCTTCCTTGTCATTGCCTTACCTTCTTACCTAATTTACTACCTTATAAATCCTCAAAGTAAGGCCCCGGTCGGTGGTCCTCAGTAGGTGGTAAGCCTATTACGTAAGTGGGAGTTAAATTAAACTTAACAAAAGGTAAGCATTTATTACGCATCTGCTTCTTCGGGGACAACTTCCGGGATATAAGTACGAGTAATGAAGCAAGGCTGCCAACATCACCAGTAATGAGTTAATATAATAATGGGTGTTAATGAAGTGTTATCAATTCAGCATACATTTTAATAAAATCATAGAGCTTTTAACAATATTGAATATTGAGTTTTTAAGAAAAAAAACAATTCCATCATAGATACCACCTACAACTACACTATTTAAATGTTTTAGAAAGATATGAGTATAATGCAATTGGCGTCGTTATTCCAATACATGTGCGGTACTCTTACGCAACTGTTCCTGTTTTGTTGCTACGGAGATGCAGTGTTTAACGGGGTGCGTATTATATTCTCGATAAAAGTAATTCCAGAAGATTTTAGTGCTTTCTTTCATATTGACAAACTTAAGTTTACACTTTTAACATACTATTGCATACGTCGAATACGTAATAATCAATTTTCGAGCAAAAAATATTATTAATTAAATATTATGTAAGTACATACCTATATGTAAGTGTATATATACATGTAACTTTATGTGTGAATGTATATGTTTATTATTTAGATGTAGAATACTAATGTACTTTTTTATATATATGTACATAGAAAACACAAAAGACAAAATAAGATATAAATAAAAAATGTATATCTTTGCCCATTGTTTCGTAATTGTTGCACCGTAAAATACCTTTTTTTTTTGACGGGGGGATAATCCCTTCGGATCTCCGGCTCCTTGGGGATGTAGGAGTCAGGAGTATGTGGTGTTTCCACTAAAAACTACCCCGACGGCCGGACTCAGGCGCTCTACTCCGAGGAGGACCCGGACCATGTTATTTCAGGTCCCTTAGCCAGGCCCTATCCCGGGCTTCCCCCGCCTATCGGTCAATTTTTATATGTTGCGACCCGATCGCATTTTTGTGACCAGGCCGCCATCTTATCACCTATCGCAGCAGTTAATCTGCCACCAGAGGTCCCACTCTCTGGCAGCCTGCGGCCCTGTCGACGGCTGATAACGCCGCCGACGTCCTCTGCGATCGGGATCGGCCTTCTCCCGATCCCGTTCAGCCGTCTCTTTCTGAAGCATTACAGCTTCACAGAAAGAGACTACAGCACCCCATCCTTCCTAACCCACCAGCATGGCAGCAATGATTGCTGGCGGGGACAGGTCTCGTCCGATTTGGTCCGCTTCGAGGCTAGGCACAACGGACTGATAGCGCGTTGGCGCGCATTCACCTTGAAATACCTAAGTATTGTCCATACAGAATAGTCCATCTTGATCAGACTCAGACTGCGATAAGTCTGCCCATTGTAAATTTTCATATTTCATATTTTTGTGCGCAATTAAGTATACCTATCTATTCCAAAAGTATAAGTAGATAGTTACCTATAATAATTTCAAAAATAGTAATAATAAAAATGATAAGTAATCGATCTTCATTTACCTTAGAGTTCCGTCGGCATGGGCCAGGGTCCTTTTGGCGCAGCGCACTGGTGCCTCAGTCCCAGCATTCGCCGTGACCTCTGCATACTTGGTGCAGGAATGATGCGAATACGACAGCTTCGGGCAGGACCTTTTAATTTTCTTGATCTCCCATTATTCGTTCAGGTAATTTTATTGAAATAAAAAACCACACTCAAGCGCACTACCTATGCCGAACTTGAATTTGTTTTTAGGCTCATGTGATAGGTACCTACTCTGTTGTTTAAGCTAGCTAAGATACAGTCTTAGAAATAAATATATCCTTTTTCAATGAATTCCCAGTTAATGTTTAAAAATTCGGGATCGCTACATTACCAGTTTATTAGTAAGTATGACTGTCTTGATAACCTTTGGATGCAGCAGTGCAGATAATAGCTTGTGAAAGAAATAGTTGTTTTGTATTGAGCCGAGCATAAATGTCTGTATTTTGTTGCAGATAGTCCGCACCGCGTACAGTTGCTATGCTGTACTGGGAAAGAAAAATGTGTAACTCAAGCATTAAGCATGTCCTCAACTAGTGTCAGCGTATGGCAATAGTGCAACATTTTTTTAATATTTTCGTGTTTACAAACTTACTGGTACAAACATACACAACTGTATTGAAGATCATTATATCAACATTAGTGTTGTGTAACTAAGTTTTCATGAGTGTCACACTTTCTAGAAGTTTTAAATTATAACATGCACGGATGTTTATGTACCTACTTATCTTAAGCTGTATCAACACTAGTATTATTTCTGTCAATACATTTTTTACAAGATAAGGTGGTTATTGGTAAATTAGAAACTAAAAGTAAAATTGAAATACCTTTTTACTGTGTGTGAGGACCCCTCACGTATCATTACCTCACAGAAGCTGAAAAATAAGGAGGTATGTTGCACTTGAACTGACTAGAACCACAAGGTGTTCTGTACCGAAATCTTATTGCCAGAGCCTCGAGTGTATCTACATAAAAAACCTTGTAAAAGCCGCACCGGTTCACAATATAATATTCTAGCACTTTGTTGTTCCCAAGTTACATAATATTTATTGGAGATGAAAAATGCTGATCTGATGACTGATTTGCCACGCTAAATGATGACGTTTTAATTCCCACACGGGACAATAAATTGTAAAATAGCGTTCCACAAATATATCTATATATATATACTGACCTAGGGTGTGCCTGTGCTTTGTGTCCGTTATTTTTATCCTAATAAAAAAAAAAATCGGCTAAATACTTCGATCAAAGCATTTACCTAATTTTTGCTTTTATATAAACATCTTGGTTCATTCGCAAAATGTCTAGCGGGCGTAGTGTCCAGGACGTACCTAATCAAGGACCAATTTAGAATGGGACAGTTCGTCATTCTGCTACATTGAACATAATGCACCTGAACGAACATTTTATACAAAAAAATAAACTAAGTAGAACTTAAATGTTTTGTACGTTTGGCCCGTTATGAAAATTCGACCACAATTATTACTTACAGAAAACTACTTTGCTCCTCTCGTTTCCCGGCAATAGTTATTGGTTTCAGTCAGATTTCGAAATGAATTTTGAAATTTGTGTCAATTAACAAGAATTACCACCTTAAAACTGTTATTAAAGTGTGTGATGATGATGAATTTATTCTTCCTACTAATGACTAATTACTTAAATTTACATTAAACTATAAGAATTATATTAAAAAAAAAACTACATTAAGACAATGGTGAGGAAAAATATATAATAACATGGTGTGAAATAAATTTTGAAACATTTCGGACAAAAATACGAGTAAGTATATACCTACCGCCAAAGAATTTAATTTTTCCTTTTCCGAAGAAATAGCCTTGATAATGCTTGATTTTAAATAGGTACATAAAGTACTTGACTGTGAAAACGACCAGGCCAAAGCCAATCTCCCAACAGACAACTTCTTCCTACAGGGAACGGTAGCGTTCGATTGCGACCAGGGTCGAGCACCCCTGTCGGAAGCCAAACAGGTTGTCTGATATAAGCCGGGGCTCACTTGCGTCAGTTGCTGGTTGATACAAGTGACAAAGTGAGTCTTTCAAAGAGTTTCACCGCTGCAATTAGCTGAATAATCATTGTGTAAAAGCATTTCTAGAAACTTGAAGTTTCTAAAACCGGCTGACGCAGGTCCTTTCCGGGCACTGCTGCTTAGAAAAGTACCTGCGATCGGTCGCTAGGAGGGTATTGAGTTCCGCCTGTCACCACTGCGATTGCAGTAAGAACTCGGCTCAGCACACGGAGGGCATCTCTCGCTACCGGCCGTCATACGCTTCTGCGAAGATGTCATGTCGAAGAAGGAGGCGGCGAAGTGAGTCCGGGAGGATGACTTCCACTCGGACCCGATTCGCTACCAGCGCCTCATGCTGCCCGGAGTGTGGCGGCGGGTGAACGGGACGGGTTTTCCTCTCCACCCGCCATAACGGCCAGCCGCGTGTGCCGGACGTCACCTAAATAGAGATTGTACCCGAAGGTGGCGCCCGCGCCATTGCGGGCAGATGCTAGGAGGGGTTCGAATGTCTTAATAACAGCAGTTCCCGGAACCCTCCTATTACAGGCGCAGAGTGGCACACCGTGTGGTTTTAGTTTGTCCGATTCCGACACACCACACCGCCATAACGTGGGGTGACGGGCCGAGGGAGTCTCCAAACTTTAAAAAAAGGCTAAATACAGTAAGAGAAGTAAGTTTTAAAATTAAAGTTACATCGTGTAAAACATACTACTACTACGAGGTTACTACTCATCGCTAAGGACATGTGATTAAAACAATTATATCTAAGAGACGCAGACTTTCTTTATTAACTGTGTAAGTTACGATAATTTTTTATAGATAAGTGAACTTTTAAACCACAGGCTTTTTGATTTGTATAGGCTATTAGAGCAAAGAAATGGAATAAGTAAAAACAAACGAAATTAGATGGATTTCCCTTATGAGTAAATATCGCCAATTACATTTACCTATTTTACCAACCGCCGCGCTTGAGGTTGGTGAAATAGTTTTTAAAAATAAATGACAATTAAATGAGGTGAAAATAAGTAATAATTGTTTGTCATCCAAAAAAAATTATTATAGTTGAATATACCTAATGAATATACCTGTTTTATGTAAAGAACATATCTACCACAACACTGAAACTTTATTGTAGAACTTTACTATTTAAAAAAAACAAGTACAAATTTGCTAAGGAAATATAATAGTTTTTGAAAAACACCGCGTGAAGTATACCCACACTCCCAATATCATATTGCACTTTTTCTACTACACAACAACAGATGAGATAATCGCGTTAATATACAAACAACACTGATTAATATGCACTGTAAACACAGACTACAGAATATTCTCTTTAAACTTATAGATTAAATAGCCTTACATTGGTACAAGATTTCAATGTAACTGACAGAGATCGCTAATCAATTAAGCTCTGTGGTTGGCTTGCAACCAAGAGGAGACTCCTGGCAGATTATACGTGTTCCATCGTATGTTGTTGCGGACATTTTCGAGAGCTCGCTGTCGTGCACTTTCTCCGGCTCCGGCATCTGGATATTGGGCGAAGAAGGCCTCCATCTACATGGAAAAGAATACATAACGTGCATTTGCATAAGAATGATTTCATAAAACATTCGTACCACATTTTTAATTACTTTTTTGAAGTGATAACTCCTTATGGAAGGGTAAAACGCTTCGTTACGTAACGCGTTACGGCGCCAGTCTGTCTGGCTTCCCTTCCTCTCAAGCATACGACCGCGGTAGGCAGGCTCCTCCTCTCTCACTCTAACACACGGCGCTAGCCGTATTTCGGACAGACGATTTGCATAAAATTTAAGTTTTAACCTAAGCTTTTCTCGAGTTATATAATTTCAATATTAAATAGTTCAACTTCGGTTAGTTTAGGTTATCACTTCTGTCGGGCGTCCCGAGCCGCACACTTTTTTTTTTATATTAAAACTTCACGCACATATTGTACAAAAAAAATATATTTTATTTATACTGTATACCTACCTTTTGGCAGCAAGTCAATTAGCGGACAGCGAGTGGGATATAGTGACTATGACAATGATAATAATTGTTAACATTTTAATTCGACCATTTAAAATAGGTTTATTAGTAGTTAGATGTGCCATCTTTTTGGGCTAAGATTTATTTGATTAGTCTACGCAGTAACCGAATATTAAGTAGTACACTTATTTTGTTTCTAAACTGTATTCCGATGCATAATCTTATAAAAATATGTATACGATACATAATATTACATCAACAACCTTTACAGTCCACTGCTGGACATAGGCCTCTCCTTAGAAAGGAAGTTTTGGCCTACTATACCACGCTGGCCAGACGAGTTTGTAAAGGTTTTGTTTCAAGTTTTCCTTCTCTTTGCAGTACTTTTATCCTACGTAGTTTGCTCCCTTAATCGGCTATTACGACACCCAGGGGATGAATAGCGGTAGTGACACTCCGTATTCTGAATACGTCAAAACACGGACGGGCATATAATATAAGATTACCTATGCATTCAATCAAGTCACTACAATTATGGTTTATATATCACCATATTTATAATTAATGCACAAATTATATAACTAAATCACAGCTTAAGAATGATTCTTATAATAAAATAGAAATAAATAAATAATGATGCTAAGTACATACATACTTAGCTTCACTTTACTTACCTCCTTGTACTTGAGATCAGAATTGAAAGTGCTCGTAATGCTAGGAATCATATTGCCAAGGTAGCGGCTGTTCAATGTGAACTTATCGACCAACTGCGGCCAACGGGCCCTAACATCATCCCATATCAGGGCAGTGCCTGATGGGTTGAAACTTATTTGCATTAAAACGTTTAAGTAGTCCTGGCTGCGGATGTTTGTTTCGTCCCATGCTAAAAGTAAGTACCTAGAAAAAACACACTGCGCATTAGCGTGGAATTAATTTGTTGTATATCTATACCCTCTTTTTTTCTCTCGGATACCACTCGGTGGTTATGTCGGACATGAACCGACCAAAAATCGTACGCTGTCTCGGGTACCAGTAGCCGAGGAACCGGTGTCTTTGGAACCCCGACGGACCCCAGGCCATCTACGGCCAGCAGATGTATATTATACCTCATGTGTGGGAACCACGGTGTTCCCATTCTACAACCTAAAGGGCGCGCGCGCTCCACAGCGCGTAGCGCCGCCAACCCTAGGTTGACAGATGGCATTACCTGTCCCCCCCCAGGCCTGCGGTAATGGGGGACGGAGGTCGTTCTCTGGCCCGTTCCAGGATTCGGCGGACCAATAGAGTTCAAGCATAACTTACTCACAGAAGGCTCTCGCTCCGTACCATGCCTACCTGCGTCAGCCGGTATGAGAGCATCTCGTGATGCCTCTCGTGCCAATCCTCCATAACGGGACTTACCTCTGCAATAATGCCGTGCCCGGCGCTTGGTTGCCCATGTCGTTCCTTACATTCCTCCATAAGGACCTGGCGGAGTTGGGACTTCTGATCCTCGATTCCTCGAGACTCAGGACTCCGACCCAACTCCTGCGAATTCTTGCGACACTGATACAGAGCCACAAGGGCTTTCGCCTCCAGGTCCCACGGTGGAGTTCCGGCCAGGAGACTCGCCACCTCGAAGGAGATCGTGCGGTACACCCCTATCACCCAGACAGCTAGCACTCGGTATGGTCGTCGCAGTAAAGCGACATTGCTGCCCTTCAGGGCCTCCGCCCATACTGAGGCCCCATATAGGGCCATGGACCGCACAACCCCTGAGTACAGTCTCCTGCAGGAGTCATCGTGTCCCCTCATGTTGGGCAGCAGCCGCGCCAATGCATGCGTTGTTCCAACTAACTTGGGGATCAGACCTCGGCAATGATATCCGAAGTCCTACTGGACATCAAGTACGAGCCTCAGATGTCTCATCGAGGTCTCGATGCCGATGCGAGTTTGTCCTACTATGAGGCTGGATTCCTCAGGTGGCTTCCTCCGAGGCCCATGAAAGAACAAGGCTTCGGATTTGTACAGAGCCACCTCGAGGCCCAGGGGTCGGATCGGCTCCACAACTTGGGCAACCCCTGCCGTGGCCCTCAGGTTGCCTCACAGCGCGTCTTGACACACGCCATCACATAGGTATCGTCGCCGTCATAACACGTGACGTGACCATCTAAGAAGTCACCGCGAAGTAGCCATTCGTAGCCGTTGTTCTACAGGAGCAGCCTTAACACCGAACCCTGCGGAACACTGCACGACATTTCGCGCCAAACGAGACCGGTCCTACTAGGGTAGACGACGGCTCTCTCCGACAAATATGCCCCGACTATCCGGCGGAGATAGAAATGCACTTGTGTGGGCACTGGCCGGGAAACTGCTTCATCTGCCAAAGCCCTCACGCGCATGATTGTATCCACAATGGAGCGCCCCTGATGGCAACCAGATCGGGCCCCACCCTGAAGAGGTGCTTGACGAGGCGCCTAGCAATCACTCTTTCAAAGAGTTTGCACACCTCGTCAAGCAACACTATGAGGCAGTAGGCGGATAGTGAGTGCGCCGTAAGTCTTTCCTTCTATCCTTTCGGATGAGGACCAGTTTCCACAATTTCGGAAACTGGCCCTTTTTGAGGCATGCGCTGAAGAGCCCTCTTAGTCAGGGCTGGAGAGCCACATCATCTAGGGCCAGGACCCACGCTCGGCCAGGAATGCCTTCGGGTACAGGGGAGGTGTTTTTGGATTTAAGCCGTCGCACCGCCAGCCCTAGTTCTGCCCAAGTCACCTCAGGCACGTCGTCGTCATACCCCTTAGGCGCCACAAGCGCGGGAGGCGAAGCCATCTATGGTGGAGAGTGCTTCACCAATCGTGATGGGCGTATAACGTGCATCCAGTACGTAGGCGTTCCAAATTACTTTTAGCAAACGATTAAGAATACTTTTACTTTAGGCAAAAGCCCAACGCTTTTGCTATTATACTATTATATTATATACAAATGTTTATGAAATTCGGCACTTACTTTCTAAGTATTGTAGTGTCCCGTGGGGCCGCTAAAGCCTTGCGGAGTTTTAACTTTTCCTGCACATCATCTTCTTTCAGGTATATTTGGAATAGTCGATCCCAATCAGATAGTGTACCTGATTGCATACCTTTAACCATAGAATGAGACTTGTTATCTTCGCGTAGTCATTGGATAATGAACAGAACGAGATTTTTGTTTTATAAACAGCAATAAATTTAAAAGAAAAACATTTTAGATTATTTCATTATTTTTTTACTCCGTTGATCCGGATACCATTCAAACATAATACCTAAGTTGATTTACTACTTGATATAAAAGTGAATTTAAAATGTAATCACCATGAAAATATACAATGTCTCTAAGATCTTGATCAATCTTCACTTCTTCCGACGTGTCCTTCTTTTTTAACCAATTGAGGAAAAGATTCTTTACTTTTTCTTCAGCATCTGGCAATTGGCATTGCACTGCAAATCCTAAAATTTTTGTGCGCAGTAAACTGGAAAGAAGAGTATTCTGAATATTTCATATTTAACGACGTGCGAATTTCGGGTATGTATGACCTTACGTACAGCGGTCCACAGCGTCGAATTTCATGTCAAATTCGACGCATATGGCAGTGCTGTACGCAAGGCTGTTTCCTTAGAGAATAGCATTGCAGTTTCGGACCCAACCCCTGTTAGGACTTTTTTCAAGTACTTAATGATATATCTTGCCGCGACGGTATCAGGCGTGAGTTTTTACCTTTAAAATTTGTAAGTCTGTAATATATTGAGATATAAAAATAGAGCAAGCTATCTGTACCTAGCCCTGTAGCTAGTGATGCCAGGTGCGAGAGAAAAAGCTGATGAGAGAAAATTCAGAATGTCTATATATAGTTATATATATTTAGTACTATAAGAGCAGAGCTTTATATTTTACCTTTCCATAATTGGCAGATTCTGAGCCTCCCAGTTTTGTTTCACATAAATCGGCCGTATCAATCGTTGGAAATATTTCTATAAACAAAACAAAGGTAAAACAGTCTTACGTTGACTTTGAACAATATTTAAACTTTACATACATGGCGGAGAGCTCTCTTTTAAATAGCTATCGAGTATTCGACGATATTTTCAGGAGTCGGGGTTCCAATTAGAGCTAAATTTTTGTTTTTAATATTTACCTATTGTCTTTAATTAAATATGTACCTATTGTATGTATAAATATAAGTTAATTAAGGTGAGGCTAGGACAAGGTCGTTGGATGCCTAAAACTTACCCTGAGGCATTCATCGACATCACCCTGGCTCCAGCTTTACTTTCGAATTTCAATGAAGTTATTTGTTTTTGAATAGTAAAATCACTTAGGTACACTTTTTTTAATCATATATGCAAAATGTTATTTTTTCACAAACGGCCGCAAATCAATATACAATAATGTTCTGATTATTTTACGCAATGCTATTTCATTTTACTTAACCAAACATAACTTCTACTTTGACTTTACAGGTAAACAAAGTTATACATCATTTTAGACTTCGTAAATACATATCTATCATAGAATGGATTCCATTTTATCCAACATAAAATGTAAAGGGTAATGTTACATCCATGACATGAATATAAAAATATCTGTCGGTCACTTACCTGCAAGTTGTCGTATGCCAAAGAGTTAAGAAGGTTGACTCTCAGTTTGCTATAGATGGATGCAGCAGTCTCCCAAGGGATCAGGTCGTTTTCAACTAAGAGGTAGCTCGTGAGACTTAGAGCTAATGAATATGGCACCAAGCGAGCTTCGGCTAGGGCAAATATGTCATCTAAAAGTTGACTCCTGTCTGCTGGCGTCAGCTAAAAGCAATTTAATATATGTAACTAGATGTTTTTGATCAATTGGATTATCTCCAGACAATTATCTGTACCTAAAGTAACAGATAGATGAATATTTTAAACTTTTATTTAACCTCAGAATTTATTCTGCAAAAATATGACAGAGATACAAAGGTACTGATTGTTCAGTACTGATTTTATAAATTACAAATTATAAAATTCAGAATATAGTTGCTGTGGTGAAACCGCTCTATATATTATTGAGAACACGAAGTTGGAGAACTTTTTACATAATTTACTTGAAAAAAAAATACGGTTATTCTGATTGTCAGTAGTGACTGGTGCTAGTGAATCCTTAGACAAATATGGTTGTAGAGGTCGTTGATCAAGGTCTTCTGTAGGTTGGAGGTATAGAATTCAGAATACGTTAAGCAAGCTATAGTTATGAGAAAACGCTCACAACTTTTTGTGCATCTGCTTTTACATTTTCTTAGTTCTGTGATTGGTCTTCTACCTTCTACTTGGTGGGAAAATAAGCATTTCAGTACTGTCGATGAAAGAACGTGCGTAATATCTTCTAACCTATTTCAGACATACGTCGACACCTAATGTATAATGTATCTACATTCAAAATCTGGGGTCCAGTCTTGTAGAGAAAATGTTTTAATATATTGTACTTACCTGACTAGATTTAGATTTTAGCTGCTCAATTATTGTCTGCCACATTGGCAGCGTGTAGTTTACTCTGTAATAGCCTACTTGGTTGTTGTTGATTTTGAGCCAATTTTCACCATTTTTTAACTTAATTTTAACTAAAAAAAGTTATAAACTCAAGATTATTAAATGGTAAGGCATATTTGGTATTCTTATTCTAGTAAAACGTATTCATGTTAACTATACTCTGTTTTTGTCTATTTATGAATTCATGTATCAACTTAGTGTTAGAAATAGCCTTATAATCGAATTTTGACCATAATACATTAATTTTTAATTGATTTGTATTTTCAGAGACCAATAGTCTACACAATGACTTTCTGTACGATGACAGATAGGTATGTACTGAACTTTCGGAAGCTATTCGTATTCATTTTCAAGTAACTTTTAAATTTATAACATGTATTTTTAATTTTTATTTTGCTCCCTGTATTTTTTTTCTACTTACAAAATATAAGTGTGCCTAATTTGACGATCTTTCGTATACAAAATTCTCTTCAAAAGAGATCCAAAATAGTGGCGTACTGTAATAATATAAAAATGGATAATAATATAAAAACAATGCATGCCAAATATATTAAAAAAATCTTACTATTCTCATCCGTGTCAGATAACCATAAAAGGCGTTCATGCGGACCACTTGCAGTTTTATATGTTATCGGCACAAACCACCGGTAGCTGAAAAGAAAAAATTAGAAAAATAATAAGTAAGAAATTAAATTGTTTCGGGGACAGTTCGCGCTCCTAGAGGGGGGGCCTTCGTTCAGCAATGGACACCGGTAGGCTGATAATGAAATTCGTTTATTTAGTAGGTTTTTTTTATCATAGAATTCCTGTTATGATGTACAGTACTTCGAATCGTGGTTTCTCACTTTTTTTTTTCAACCTGTCACATCTTACACGATGTCGTCTGATCCCAAAACCAGTTGAGCCTGTACAATGTTAACCATACTGCTAGCTAATATATATATTTATATACTCGTGTTTCTAAATATATACTCCTTATAAATAAACTACAGTCAGGCACAGCGAAATAAATGATCGTGCTTATCGCACAATATTAATCACCGATGGTAATCGAACTCGCGACCCTTGGCTTGACATCAGGATTACATATTTCTATAAGATTATGAGATTATAAGATTATTATTTATTACTAGGATTATACAACACTATAATTTATGTTATTATAAATATCGACAGGACATATATAGTAAATATTATGCAATATATATAAAATTGATAGTATTATAAGTAATTGGTAATACTATCACAAGTGCTTTACAATTTTATAAAGGCATAAACAATTGTGGTGACTTCTGTGTTCCAGTCTTCACAGACTATTTTTGACGGAGATTTAGTCAATTTACTATAACAAAATAACGCATGCATACAATAACCACGATAGCCTATATCCACGATGGAGTAAGATGAAGTATAGTAAAAACCTACTGTCTCAAAAATGTGATTTGATCATCATCATCAGTCTATCGCAGTCTACTCCTGGACATAGGCCTCTCACCGTTGCACGCCACTTGGATCGATTTTCGGCTTCTCGCATCCAGCTCCTGCCAGCCAACTGTTTTTTTTGTCTATTCGGAAATCCTCTCGGATACCACCCACCGGTGGTTATGTCGGGCATGAACGACCAAAACCGCACGCCGTCTCGGGTACCAGTAGCCGAGGAACCAGGTGTACCCTAGGAAGGAAATCCCTGAAACTTCGACAGACCCCGGGCCATCTTAGGCTTGTAGATGACCTCCTCGTGTGTGGAAATCACGGTGTTCCCATTCTACAACCTAAAGGGCGCGCGCCTGCCACAGCGCGTCGCACCGCCACCCGGCCTGCTTCTGCTAGGGTAACAGATGGCCTTACCTGTCGCATCCATGCCTGCGCTTATGGAGGACCTTGTTCTGCGACCTGCAGCGCCTGAGTCGCCGGCGGTACCTGGCCCGTTCCCGCGCCTGGCGGACCGAGAGAGTTCTAAATCTCTCTCGGTCCCGCTAAGCTGTCTCCTTCGCAAGCATACCTTGCTCACAGAAGAAGACGGCGGAGTTCCACGCGCTCACGCTCCGTACCATGGCCGCAATCATGGTACTAGGCGAGAGAATTTTCATTCCGCTGGCCGCCACGAGGTCACGCCGGGCATTCTGCCAGCTTGTGGTGCGCGAGACACCGGTAATCACCTGCGTCAACCGGTATGAGTGGGTTCCCTGTTGCCTCTCGAGCCAATCCTCCATAACAGGTCTTAACGCCGCAATAACGGCGTGCCCGGCGCCTGGTTGCCCAAGTCATTCCTTCCACTCCTCCGCGAAGACCTGGGGGAGTTGGGGTTTCTGATCCTCGATTAATCGAGACTCAGGATTTCGACCATACTCCCGCGCCTCCTTGCACCACGGATACAGAACCGCAAGGGCTCTTGCCTCCAGATCAATCGTCACTCCACCTAGCCTGTTGTTATTCACCTAATAAAGCGCAAGTCTATAATCGCTAGCCTAGCGAAACCAACAGGCATTTTGGGAATTAAAGATCGGAAAATTAGAACCATTTATAGGGAAAGATTTACAAGACGGGCATGCAATGAAAACATATTGCTGTTATGGATTGAGTTATTGATAGTTTATACTGCCTCGGTGGTGCAGTGGTAGCATATGCGGATGCTATGCTGAGGTCCCGGGTTCGATTCAAGAGTCGAACCAAATGTATGTATAATCTGCAAATATTCTTTTTGTTTTACCGACAAGTCCCGCACTAGGAATATTATCCTATGATATAATATATCCATGAAACGAACACAAAGAACATTCAGACCCAAGACAACAATTTGTGGATCAGACAAAGTGATGTCCCACCACCCACCTACCAACCCACAACACTTAGCGCAGTAGTAGGCAGCGAGGTGACCGCTTAAAGTTCAGACATTTGTTTCGGAGTTTGGGTGTTTTCTATGTATAATATGCATGTAGTTACTAAAAAAAATGTGTAAGTATTCTATCAGTCAATATAGCTGTCATAGTACAAGCTATACTTATTTTGAAACTAGATGATATTGCGTGTCAGATGTCCGAAAATATAATTATTAGTTAGAGAAAGCTGGAGACGTAGGCCGATAACTTAAACTGGATATTGCCATAACCTAACTAACCTAAAATAATACTTACTTGTATTTAGAATCATTTGCGTATACAGCATCAGAGTCATACAAGAATCGTGATTGTAACACAAAGTAAGAGTTAGGTTCGTCTCCTGGTTTGACGGTCAATACGGGATAACCCATTTGCCGAGTCCAGGTATCCATTATGTGCCTGATAACATACAATTGAAAGTTTTTCATAACTAGACAAGATATAATTATCGGTATTTAGTCCGGCTATGTCCCGCCCATTGGGCATACAATAGATAAAATTATTATAATATAGGTACATGCAATGAATAATAAAATTTGTTAATTTAATATGGATCACATTTTAACAGAATTTGCAAACAGGCAATAATAATGTAGAGTAGTGAATTAAATCTATAGCAGTTAACATTATATTTCTTGGAAAAAGTAATATAAAAGGACATACGAAATATTTAAATCCGGATAATCCGCTTTGAAATAAGGCTCCAAACATGACAACAGGTCTTGAGTCACGGTGTTGCCATACTCATATTTTTTTAAATAATCCGACACCCCACGGCGGAAATTTTCAGCGCCTGTGAATCCTTCTAACATTCTCAATATGGATGCACCCTAAAATACATTTTTGATATAATTGTTTTACTTTTAACGACAAAAAAGTGCTAGATAAAAACAATATGTATAATGTTAGTAAAAAGTGAACTAATGTTTATTTTCAGGCCATTTACCAAAAATCTTAGAAGTCATCTTAAACAAACCTTATCACACTGCTTAAATGAATTTGGAAAGTTAATTAGGTTATTTGTTACAATACTATACAGAAATTCCCATTTTACAGATATTACGGTTACACAGACATTATAATTTTTGTTTGCTAACATTTATCGCTTTGTTGCACGCTTAAATTCAAGACTAGACTAGACGAATTCAAATTAAATCTGCTTAATTGTCTTAGTTAGACTGATCTCAGCTAGCTAAACTACATACCTTATTGTATGATATACTATCAAATATGGCGGTAATTTGGTCCGGAGTGGCCACATTTTGTACTATAGGATGACTCGACAGTTTGGCGTCACTCACTAAAACTGGATGCAAAGTTTTGACTAAGAAATGATCCAACTGAAAAAAAGATTAGTGTATACGAGACTTTATATTCAAAAATTGTAATATGTAGAACTAGAATAAGGGTACTTTACCATTTTCCAAGAAGGCTCAATATTATCCAATGCTTTTACTTGCATGTAAGAGGCAAAACCTTCATTCAGCCAAACTTCATCCCACCATTTCATAGTCACTGAAATAAAACATGTATACAATAAAAATAACATTAGAAACACCATTTTGGTAACAATAGATTTTGTAGATGCTAAATGCATGAACAAAACATACAGAAATATTTCTCACCAATGGTTAATATGTACCTACTTACTACAAGAGTAAATGCTTGCTTGATGTACTCTTGTATGTATGATGTATTTAACTGGTGTACAATAAAGTTTATTCTATTCTAATATTTATTTACTGGCAATTGTAATAACTAACTTTGCTATCAACATAATAAATAATTTTACAGTCATTATAATTTTGCCTTAAGTTAATTAAATCATAGCTTTATTATATGAGGGCCATTCAATGATTTATATCAACCATTGGCAAACCATTGCATAACATTACAATGCAGTTTTTCTGTTAATATTCAGTTTACTTTTAAAAATTAAGTAGGTGTAAAGAATATGGAAGAGTCATGCTTCGACAAAAATGGGCCAGCTCGACGGGAATGATACTAAAGCCTCACAGAAAACTGGTGTTATGTAATTCTTTCCTAGCTTTTCACGAGCTCAAGTAACCTTCCTGGGAGGGGGACCTCATAATTTTGCGATTGACTTTCACTTGTAGGCAGTTGCAGGTGTTTATAGACAACGGTAATTACTTAGCATTTATTGTCCTATCTGCATGTTTGCTTCGTACAGCATAAAAAATATCAATAAATGTATAATATTAAACTTTGAAACAAAAACTTATGAGTTCTTTTTTAATGAAGTAAACCACAGTATATGATTTCGAAATCTCTAGCCAGTTTAAAATAAATATACCCCCTATGATAGTTAATGCCCCTGCCCCCAGATTCTTGATCCTGAGGGAGGAGGGAGAGGGGGGGGGGGGGTCAAAGAGCACTTTTGACACAGCACTTGTTGCAGGTATTCATGGGGGCGATAGTTACTTAAAATCAAATGACCCATCAGACTGTTTGCCCTCCTATGCCATAAAGAAAAATTTAAACAAAAGAAAGAACTAAAATATTACTATGGAACTACTAATAACTCAAGGCTATGTATATCTAAAGTTCAACGAACTAAAAATTATTACAATACATCAAAACATAGTACTTAAAAAAAAATTATCACTTACCTAAATTACCAAACCACATGTGAGCTAATTCATGTGCTATTGTGTTGGCCACGCTAATTTTATTTGCAGCTGACGAATGCTCGTCATCAATAAGGAATGACGTTTCTCTGTAGGTGATCAGGCCCCAGTGTTCTGTCGCACCGGACACATAATCGGGTATTGCTATCATATCTGAAATATATTTATAATCAAGAATTTTATTCATTATTTCGATACATGATATGAGTATAGTCTAAAATATTCATTTTAGTAATTTTTTTAATTATGTAAAATTTGATTATAATTTTTCTTTTGAAAATAGATTCTATTTAGATGACATCCATAAGAAATAGCCATGAGAACTCATTGACCTTTTGTTTTGAGTAAGGTTGCATTAGAGATATGTAAGTCCATTCATTGATTAATATCTATAACATCTTGATTAATATTTAAGATCCCTCTATTTGGAGGCTATACTCAACTTTACACAATGACACATTGATACTCTAGACAACTCATATTCCATAACCAGTAGTTATAAAAGGTACTAGTTTTGAACAACTAGAGCTATTGAAAAACCTCAAGCCTCAGTTGAAAGACTTAAACAATGTTAGAACATTTTTTTTATTTGACACAGCACACCTAGAATCAGAACAACAATTTGTAGATCACACAAAGTGTTGCCTCTGTGCGGCTCGAACCCACAACACTCGGCGCAATTGGTAACGTGAGGTGACTGCTTAAACAACTATGCCATCATTGCAGTCATTAGTTTATATAAGATGACTCTATACTAAATTATACTTACGGAGTAAATAGGAGGTAGGACAAACTACTGATATGTTTAACTGACTTTTTGCATAATTCAATTAGCTCTAATATTAAACAATATACATTAGCAAATATACCTTCATACCTAATTTTGGTAAAGGGAATGGCACCTCATAATATTTTATGTAAAATTCTGTGGCCCTTTTCCCAATGTCTTGTGCAAAATCAATTTTATGCAATTCATGTCGCTGTGCAAATGATCTGAGTGTAAATTTGGGTCCATAGTTTCCAGAATCAATTTCAATTGCTTTGCTATCAAAGTCACAAATGACGAAACAGGCCAAATAAGTTGACATTGGCACGCTGGTAGCAAATGTAACTATATCCATATTTGACTCGTCATCACGACTTCTGTCAATTTCCTAGTAAAAATAAATTTAAAATATTTACAATATATATATACAATCCAGTTTAAGTATAGTAGTAGTAAGTTTGAAATCATTTTTTGTATTTAATAACATAAAAATTGCAAAACAAATTAATGCTTAGGTAACAACCAGTGTTCCAAAAACCTTGTAAAACAAAAAATGAAACATTGAAATTATTTAGGAGAAATAAGAAGACTTGCAGAGACACTTGGGTACAGCTAAGCATCACCACGCTGCATTACATGTTACATTATAGTATCACATAGCTTTTCAATGCATACTGTGGTGACACATTAGATATTTCAGATCGAAAAATGATTCATTACTTAATTATTGATGAAATGGTTTAATACTTAATTATGTAAATAAGAAGGATGTATGAATATGAGGATTACTTAATTATTATTTTTTTACTAAATTTAATCATTATTGATTGCTAACTTAATTACCTTCAAACACTACTTTGCAGTGGTGCAGGTTGATTCTGAATCCTTTCCACTTTCATTTTAATTTTATTTCTAATCAGATAATTAAAGTTAGTTGTTAAAAAATTATATATGTAAAGGTTTTTCATTTGAAAAATCTTCTGCAGACAAACAAGTGTGTGTGGATTTCTACACACATCTGTTATGTTTACTTAAAAATTCATCTATTGAGAAAGTAATATATAGATTTTCTACATGAAATATACTTACATTCATGTTAGAGAGTGCTATATAAGATGGAGGCTTCCATAACTTAATGTCATATGTAGCCTTGAAGTCAGGCTCATCAAAACAAGGGTAAGCTTGACGAGCATATGTAGGTTGAAATTTACTAGCAACCATTGTTCTGAAATGAGAGAATGTAAATATTGTTTTAGTGTTACTAAGATTTTGATTTAATGGATTTACCAATGTTGGGCTTTAAGCTTAAATTGTTCTTTAAAAAAGTAATTTAGTTTCTACAAAGAATTTTTTTAAATGGAACTTTCAATGCACAATGCAGGATTATTTGGTGTATCTTTACTAGGTGATACTGAAGGATTGCTTTGGATTCAACATACTTTGTATGTAGAGGTGGCCACACTATAATAATGTAAAGGTATTCTACAATGCCCTAGACCTGTGCAGCTACCACATAAACTGTAAGAAAAGTTTGCAGCAAGATAGTGTAAAAGTCATATTTATACTTAATTAACTTAGTTTATACTTAATTCGATAAGTTATTATAAATGGGATATGTATCTTGTTTATTTTCAGGAATTAGTATCAGATATTTTGACAGTTGCAACAGTGCTTTTAATAAATAATAATACTTATATACATACAACAAAATATATTGGCATGAAATCCATTTTCAGTTGCCTGATTTTGTGTACTATTTTGTTATTTTTTAACTTTAAAATAATGAAACTTAACAAGGTAGTACCAGGTGTAAAATAAATTCACCTATTTTATAATATTAATATAATATTCTATTTTATAATTACATATTTAATTATAAATCTATTTTTTATGTATACATACAACACCCAACCACGAAACAAAACAGTATTGCTTGTTAAGTGTTTCAATAGTTACAATAATTTTGTCAGTTTATTGCTATTTTTTTCAACATTTTAAATAATTAATTAGTTAACAATTACCTGCCATCAAAGAGACGAGAGGCATAAAATCCGACAATATTGCGTGTAAGATCTCCTGTATAGTCAATATGTATATTATAATTGCCCGAACTGAGAGCAGTTTCAAAATATATAAACAGCTGCTCCAGTTGCTTTACCTCCAAATACTTAGATACAACCACTTCACTTGCATCTTTGAAAACCTTTATATCAGCAATATTCAGAAAGTTAGAATGTAAACTGATATGATTCTTTTCTTGTTTAACATTAACTTCAATTTTTACACTCCCTTGAAATGTTCCATTACTAATGTTAGGACGCAAGTCAAGTTTATAATTCAAGGGACGAATTAGGGGCGAAAGACGTTCTGACAACTTTACGTTGATCCGCATTTTTTCCATAATATTCTGGCCACTACTTAATAGAAGCCGGCTTTTCCTTACAACGCTAGTACACGACAATAGATTTCTATAAATTATGTACATAGAAACACAAACTTATAAAAACAGAAACATAAACTAATAGATATGTTCCTATATGATTATTTAGAAATGAACCACTGAAATTGAATCTCTTTTTTTATTCATGTTTAGCAGTTATGAAAGAAAATAAAATAGTATAGGTACGACAAAAATCTTGTCGTGAAATGTCAGTTTGACAGTACGATAGTTATGTGACCATATATCAGTTGTCGCAGGCCTCTGATTATTTTAATATTCCAACCCGACGTTCAACGACGACCATCCTACACATTTGAGAAGCGAACAAAAAGTATTCCTGCCCTTTCTCTAACTATGAGGATTTTCATATTTATAATTAAAATACGACTGCGAAAAAGCTGATTTTAGGTGTTAATATGTAACGTACGGACTGGAAAATAACAACAGTGAGACTTCTGTTGTGAGTAGATACCATTTTTTTAGTATATTACATATAATTACACATTATTATTTTGGAGGAAAGTTTTTACTAGTAAAAACTAATAAATATCCTTAACCAAATTATCAAAAAGACCTATCATGGAAGGTATAGCTATCTACACTTGACACTCGTTAATGCCAAATAGAAGTCGAGGAAGCACTATTACCTACCGCAGAAGAGGCATTAAAAGCTGCAGAATTATTATCACGATTTGTTCACAGCAATATTGAAAATGATAATTTGACCATAGCTATGTCTTCTATACACAATAGTATTAGAGACTGTTTTTACAATAAAATGAAAAAACGTTTCTGTATTAAAATACTTAAATACATACATATTTACATAAAAAAAGTTTTTCATTTCACATAACGCTTTATATGACGTCCGCTTATTATGACGTGTTTGTCAATTCCTTTCGATGTCATTATAAACGGACTCTACTAACTACAGTAGAGTCCGTTTATAATGACATCGAAAGGAATTATCTCTATAATAAATATATCTCTATAAAAATTTTCTTCATCATCAACAGCGTTAAATTTTAATAATCCACTACTGTACACACGCCTCTCCTTAGATTTTTTTTTGTTGGTTTTCAAATTTAAGAAGGTGCTTATTTTTGTAAGTACAAGACAAGGTACAGTTTTCATTGCTTTTTTTAACTCGCCGACTGGAACTGAAATCAAATCCTACGCCGGAGTTCAACCAACGCACGCACAAACAACTACTGGTTCGATTATTTTAATTCAAACCAGTAGTTCCCGAGATTAAAATAAAATCTTGCTTTAGGTTCAGGTTGATTTATTTTATTTAGAGTATCTAATAGAGATTAGGAATACGTATCATATATAATAATGTATTCATTTACTCACCTGCCGTTGTTTGGAGTACTCGTATAAAAGCCAACATTGCCTAAATCCAATTTTCCCGAAAACGTCAAGAATAACTCATATTCACCTAATTTTAGAACATTGTCTAACTCTATTATTAAAAACTCCCTTTTATATATGGTTGCACTTATTGAAGGGATTTGTATTTTTTTATTATGACTGTTTCTTAAAATCATCTTTCTTATGCGTAACTTTTTTGAATGCAGAGTTATTGTTTTAGTTGATTCTACTATACTTATAGTAATCAAAAGAGATCCATTAAACGTTTTATTTTCCATGTCAGGTATCAAAGTGAGATCATAGTTTTGTGGTACAACGCTCCTTGGCAATCGATAATTAAGTTCCTCCACCTAAAAAAAGAGTTGATATATTTTTTGAATGTATACCAAAATCTAAAAGCCCCAGTAGGTATATATACAGTGGCCAGTGATGGGCCATGCATAATTTTTATGCCATCATCAAGTAGGCAGGTGTTTACACAATATTGCATGGCTCAGTGTTGTCTGGTGAAACATTTGTGATGGACGTGGAAATTATTACTATTTATTTTTATACGACTCAGATTGATATTTTCTTTTCACTTTATTTGGTATTTTTTTTAAAGAAACAACTGCCGCACCAGGAATATATTTATCCTGTGTCGCGAGGGACTTTACATACATTTACACGATAATGACCTTTTGGGCCATAAAAAATTCAAGTGCGCTATTCTTTCAGGGGTCGGTGCAAAAACTAAATAATGAGCGACTGTCTAAACACTACACGTTACGCCACGTTGTGCCAAAAAACCGACAACATCCCGATTGTTCGCCACGATAGCCAACCGTCCTGTAGTAGACTAACTAACAAAATACTAAAAACATAATTATTACCTTAACATCATTTATCTCGGATACATTAGTGATTTTGTCGGTAATATATGCACTCCATTGATTGCTGGCTAGTGCTACTATCGATACAAAGAGACATAAACTGGCTACAATAAAGCATAGCAGTGTTTTATTTTCATTTGCCCATTCTTTCAACCTTTGATTTCTACTCATCTGGAAAGTAACAAAACATAAGCGATTTTTTTTTTTACTTATCTATTAATTCACCAAGCGTATACTCGTAAACATAAATAACACACACAATGGTGCATAATGCGAAAAGCGCACAGTGGTGGAGCGCTAACAATCCAGGTTTCCAATCCAATCCAAAAATTTGCCGTGTGGAACGATGGCGGAAAATTGCGGCCGGTATTAAACCGAACGTTTCTTCGGAGCACTCTCCATGATATATGCGATAGAGAATGCAGAGTGCAGCCACGGAGAGAAGCTGGTACTGAGGTACCCCTGCATAGAGATGAGAACAGTATTCCATATGCGGCAGGACTTGCGCCTTCTCGACATGCTCGAGTGTGTTACCTCTTCTTTCTTCTTGGAAAACAGTAAAACAACGACGAATTGATTTTAATAAATATTGTATATCCTTGTACAAAAGCGCTGTCAAGCTGTAATTATAATTCTATGTAAATAATCAATTGGTTTATTTAAAGTACTTAAGTTATAGACTAGGATGGAAAAATCCAATAAATTGCAAAGGAATTTATTTTTAGCATTTTAGTATTGTAGCCAGCCTTTTATGCAAATGACCCATACATTTTCGAGTTGATAAGAGCGTTATACCTATATTATAAGTGAAATAATTGGAATGTGGACTAATGTTTTACATTAGGAAATAAAGATTAGGTCTCATGCATTTTCTCCAAAAAATGGACCTGAATTGAAGAGAGATAAACATATTACGACGTATATTTCTCTTCAATTCAGGTTCCTTTTTTTACGTAGTTATATATGTATCTATATATATAAAAGAAAGTCGTGTTAGTTACACTATTTATAACTCAAGAACGGATTTACCGATATGGCTGAAAATTGGTGAGGAGGTAGCTTAGAGCCAGGAGACGGACATAGGATACTATTTATTCGGTTTTTTTTTGTATCGGCGTCGATCACCAGATGACAACGGTGGAACTGTCACAACAAAAGTGAAAAGAATTGATTTCGTTGTCGACAACAGTTGGATTGTTCCATATTCGCCACTTATTTCTAAAACGTTCAAGACACATTGCAACGTTGAGTATTGCAATTCAGTAAAGTCCATAAAAATATATATTTGCAAATATGTCACGAAAGGCAGCGATATGGCGGTTTTTGGATTGCAATCCTCAAATACCAACGATGAAATTTCACGCTATCAATTTGTTCGTTATGTAAACTGTAATGAAGCGATTTGGCGTATATTCGCATTCCCTATTCACGAACGTCATCCTAATGTTGTGCATTTGGCGGTGCATCTGGAGAATGGTCAACGAGTATATTTCACGGATTCGAATGCTATGCAACATGCTGAAACACCTCCAGCAACTACATTGACCAGTTTCTTTGCGATCTGCCAAAGCGATCCGAACTTTGCTTTACTCGGAGATGCCACGTTATTATACTTGGAATGGTTCATCGAAGAATTTTCAAAGACGGAAGCGAGGCGATGCGGTTCCTGGGTATCCGGATGTGCGTTCTACTGATGCTCTTGGCCGTATGTATACAGTTCATCCAAAGAATGATGAATGTTTCTATTTGCGGTTGTTGCTGGTAAATGTGCGTGGGCCAACGTCATTTGAGACACTACGGACTGTTAATGGTGTAATATTCCCAACATATCGTGCTGCATGTGAAGAACTGAACTTATTAGAAAACGATACCCATTGGGATACGACAATCGCTGAAGCCATTATCTCTGCATCTCCAAGTCAGATACGCACATTATTCGCTATCATAATTTCGACATGCTTTCCATCAAACCCATGTAACCTGTGGCACAAATATAAGGATAATATGTCAGAAGATATTTTACATCAAATTCGTATCACTTCCAGAAATCACGATGTTGAGATGAATGAGGAGATACATAATCGTGCTTTACTTTTGATCTGATTACTCTTGATCGAAGATATGTGTTACCTCATGTACGGTAATTTATTAATCAGGTTAGGAATACCAGCGCCCAATCGTGAAATGAATGACGCATTTAATCGAGAACTGGAACGAGAACGTGAATATGATCACCAGGAATTAGATTTAGTAGTTCAAAAGACTGTACCCCTGTTAAATTCCCAACAAAAGGAAGTTTATGATACTTTAATGAAGGCAATCGATGATGGAAATGGTGGTTTATATTTCCTAGATGCCCCTGGTGGAACAGGTAAGACATTCCTCATGTCAGTAGTTTTAGCCACTATTCGTGCGAGATCCAACATAGCGGTTGCATTTGCTTCTTCTGGAATAGCAGCCACATTGTTAGAAGGATGCCGTACGGCTCATTCAGCATTAAAATTACCGTTAAATCTTCAAAATATTGAAGAACCAATGTGTAATATTACGAAAAATTCAGCAATGGCCAAAGTTTTATCGGCATCGAAAATCATCATCTGGGACGAATGCACAATGGCGCATAAACGTGTAATAGAAGCACTTAACCGAACATTGAAAGATTTACGGAATGACTCGAGATGTTTAGGAGGAGCAATGATTTTACTGTCTGGCGATTTCCGCCAAACACTGCCAGTAATTCCAAGATCTACGGCTGCCGAAGAAATAAACGCTTCCCTCAAATCGTCGAATCTATGGCGCTATGTGAAGAAACTGCAGCTGACAACAAACATGAGAGTTGCATTGCTTAATGATACATCTGCTGAAGATTTCTCTGAGCAATTGCTGACTATCGGTAATGGTCAAGTACCTATCGATGAATCGAGCGGATTGATATCATTTTCAAATAATTTCTGTAATTTTGTTTCATCAAAAGACGAACTTATCAACAATGTATTTCCAGACATTATTTCTAACTACAAAAATAATGAATGGTTGAGTGAGCGAACAATTTTAGTGGCTAAGAATAAAGATGTAGACGACCTGAACTATATAATTCAAAATAAGATCATTGGAACAATGCATTCATTCAAATCTATTGACTGCATCACAAATGAAGATGAAGCCACCAACTATCCAATTGAATTTTTAAACTCCTTGGATGTGCCTGGCTTACCACTTAAAGGTTGGCGCCGTAGTAATCATGCTTCGAAACATAAACCAACCAAAACTGTGTCTAGAATAGATCTAGAACATCCATGTTTTTCCCATGGTCAATTATATGTGACATGTTCACGGGTCGGAAGACCATCTGCGTTGTTTGTTTTTGCGCCTTGCAAGGGTACAATAATTCGCATAGAGCTAAAATTGTTATGAATGTTCGGGACACCATTATAAATAATTGCTAATGGTAAATTTTTACTTGGTGAAATGTAATGGTAATTTTTTTATTCATAGTTAAAGATTTCAAAAATGAGTTTATTGAGTTGTTAAGTAAAACGCTAAGTTTTGTCATAAAATTAGGTCAGAAAAAAATATAGTTCATTAATCATTTCTAAGAGCCACCTTTTCTGAGATATAATGATTCTAAAAGTTGACAAAGTTGTAAATTTCATAATATTCGTATATATCGCGTTTTGTTAACGTGGTTTCCCCGGTAAGCCTATTCTATGGTCTATTGTGATCCTGATTATTTTAAAACTATTAAATACTAAAAAATAATAGTATCGGGAATGATGAAAGCGGTATAAATGAAAAAAAAAACTAAGACAAGTTATTCGTCAGATTCAGAACCTTCTTCATGTTGGGTGCGTGCACCATTCTTGTTCTTCTTGCTGGGTGCACGTAAATTGCCCTAATAGCGATGCACACGTCTCGTCGTTGGTATCATACTAATCCTCTTCTGTTGGTGATTCAACATTGAAAAATACAAATCTCCAACTTTATAGGTAAAGATTTAATATTTAATTTATTAGGATTTTTTAACAGAATACATGTAGGGTCGTACTATTGACACGAAGACAATTCACTAGGAGACAGATGTTGTTGAAGGTTACTTGACTTGACATTCTCATAATTATACTATTTTGTATAGATTATATAAGTTAGATTGATCGATAGAAAAATAGTTTTATATGTATTACCTACAGCTCCAAGGATGTGTAGGTATATGCGGCGTACTTATGCATAATAATATTACGAAGATTACAATTTTTCCAACTTTTAAAATCGTTACATTTCAGAAACGGTGGCTTTTAAGAAAAAAAGTGTCAAGACACTTTCGGGCTGATTATTATATGATCAACATTTTTGTCTGACCTCAATTCATTATAAAACTAACCGTTTTGCTGAAGAACGTAAAAGAACCGTTTTGCTGAAGAACGTAAAAGACCCATTTCTAAGACCCTTGAACTTGAATAAAAAAGATTTCGTAACGCTCTCGTCACGAATTCACCAGCTTACTCAAGTGTGCGTAAAGAAGTTTTACTTCAAAAAGTATTAAGAAAGAAGTATTAAGTACTGTTTACATTTTTACAAAAACACTTAGTAAAATTACCTCAAGTAAATCTAATGTATAATGTATACCTACTACATAAGTATGTTATTTTCACAATGGTGTTTAAAATTAAAATTAAAATTTGTTACTATTGAAGCATCACTTCATCATCTTTCTAACTACTATTGTATGTTTTCAGCGAGTTTTGTCACGGTACTATTATAATACAGTACTGCAACTTCATACAAACGGACGAAACGGGAGCTATACCTACGCGCCTCGATCTCGGGGTGCGCTCGGGGCGCAGACAGTCACGGCTGTACCGCAGTGTCGAACGGACTGCGTGTTGTTTTTTTAACAATAACCGCGCGATTTTTTCTCTAAAAATCAGTTAATATGACGAGTAGGAAATATTGTGCTGTTTTTGGTTGTATGAATTCGTCAATAACGCATCCAGACATAAGTTTTTTTAAATTACCTGGAAACTCTGAAAAGTAAGACTATAAAATAATTTTACTTACTAGTACGTAGGTACATAATGTGTGTCTTTTTAATGGATAAGTATTTCCTTTTATCTCACGAAAAAAAAGGTGTTTGGATGAATAAATAAAGCAAATAGAGTAACGGAAAGTTATTGAGACGAGTGAAATAGGGAGTTACATGCGGTTCTGAATGAATCATGATACGGTAGGTACCTACCTACTTACGCTTGTGTTAAAACTTCGGTGCATGTTTGTTTTGTTACTTTGCATAATTCAAAAAAAAGAAAATTCTACTTAAAGACGTGGTATTTTATTATTAATAATATATCTTTATTATCTGTGTGTATGAATAATACTAAAAAAAATTTGTTACCGTCTGTGTGTCATTAGACAGTTTTCGAAATTTTCACAAAGTGTTTCTGCTGCTACTATAACAACATATACCACTAAAAACTGGTTTTATTTTCTCGGTATTAACAACAACAGCTAGACTCATATATAATATTTAGATGTTTGAGGGTTGTGATTTTAAAACATTCGTAGTCAGCTGTTCAGCTTTTTAATAATTAATTAATTGGTGACCAAAGAATTTTTGTTTTGAGTTGTTGCGAGTTGTAGGTTATAGGTTAGGTAATTTATAGAGACGTTAATTAGCTGAGATAAAAAGTTACTTACTCGTCAGCTGTTTCTTGCATTCTAGTTGAGTAGGTGGTAGGTGTTGGAGTTTCTAAGGATTGGAGTTTTGTAACGCGTATGGAGAAAGCACATTTATTTTATTTTATAGAAGGATTTTTTTCGGTTGCTAATTTATAAGCCCGATTGGTTTTTCAAACAAAAAAATGTTTTTTAATTAAATCTACCAATCAAAAATCAACACGCATTTTTATTGAACAATTCCTATTCAATATACAAAGTATTTCATTTATTTATATAAAAAGGATATTTACAATCACAAATCTAAATAGAAACAGAAAGTAGGCAAATATCACTAAAATGCTGGAGACGGGCAGCCCTAACGCATGTTTACGTACCGCGCGGCTGTAGGCATTTATTTCTATCATGCGGCCGAGTTACAATACTGTATTATAATAGTACCGTGGTTTTGTTGCCTACCTATTGGTACTAATGAGGTTTTAACACATTAATTAGATAACTGTTGGTTTTTTTTTCTAACATTAAAAACTTTCATAACAATCCTATCTAGTAGTAATATATCATAGTATATTCCACGAAACGTAATAGTTTAAAATTCGTACGTATCCTAAGTAGGTATTCATTATAAAATTCAATAAAAATATCGAAATGAATTCTTACCTTGTTCTTGTCCTATACCTTCCACTCTTTTAAAAGTGTCACTTATGCTATATAGCATAGCAGAAATAGAAACTATGTATTTACAACTTATTGTTCCAATTGAATATAGAAGGCGTCTGTATAGCGCGTGTGCGCCTGTTTATGACCACTACGATTAAAATTCTCGGACTTTCGACATTACGACATAAGTTTCACTCGTCAACTACCGCCAGTTTACTCTAGATCAATGCAATACCTTAACACAATACTGTAACCATGACAAAAGAACACTAAAGTGTTCATATTGTTTTCGTTTTGTAAATTATAGATTTGCTAACTTTAATGTTATTCTATATTTATATCGTATTATTTATACTATTACGACTATTAGTATAGTATAATACAGTATAGTATATATAAAAAACCCGTTTCCTCGAAGGCGATAACAAGAATTTACTTCGCTTGTAAGTTGCTAGAGATTTAAGGTGATAGAGGTTAGTCGTATCATAACTTAGTTGTCCTAATGTTATCAATCTTGGCTCATCACGAACATTTATTGTATCCAGAGCACACACAACTATTACATCACCTATATCGAGTAAGCACTTGCCATTACAAACTTTGGATGGGCATGTGTCAAAGGAGAACAATCGATGGATTTGACAATTTGACCCCAACGAAATCTCTTCTAAGTTCTAAGATCTGGAGCGCTGCGATAGATATTGATATTCACATTGACGACCTAACTACCACCCAACCACTTGCTTTGAACTAATATGCTTACTTTAAGCATCTGGACCAGGGCCAGGTAACTAGAAAATAAATGTATCTACTAATATAAGCAGTAATAATAGGTAAACAGATTCAAAACTAAGATGTGTAACAAGAAATGCATTTCTTGGAAAACTTGATCAAAACATATTTCTTAGAATGTTTGATAGCTCCCTTTCCAAGCTCCTGTATAATCAAATATAAGACAAAAATTAAATTGACCAGACAGGAGACTATTTTCCCAGGCTTGTTAAGATAGTGTGACGAGAAACTATAATATCACAATGTAAATTATTTTCAGATTATTTAATACAGAAATCAGCTCGATGATCACAAATTCCTACCTCTTAGCAATGCAGATCTAACCATAGTGATTCCCCTTGAAAGATTTGGGGTGCGCCCAAATGGTGTTGTTGTATTAGTTGTTATAGGTAGTAGTTCGAATAATAAATGATAAAAATAACACAAAAGCTTAGCATGTTTGTCCTAAAAGCACTGGAAGGTCATTATGCCCTTCATTTATTCCATCTACAGTTTTAAAGCAACGATTATTTTCGCAGACATATCTGATTCTTGGTCAGTCTGTTTCCACTCTTATGATCCCCCAATATATAACCCGGTAATCTCGATCTGACAACCATTTTTCCTCATGAAGTCAAGGCCAATGATGCAGTCGTCAACTATATCAGCCATAATAACGTTATGATGATAAGATTGGTTGCCCAAACTAAACTTAAACTCCACCTTCTGTTCGCCTCGGCAATTCATTCCCATATTAATTTTGTGTTGAACTAAACCAGTTTTTCCTATATCAGCATCATTAGAAAAGAAAATATCGGCGTACTTAACTGGACTTAACTGATCTGGGAGGAAGAACAACTTTCTTTAAGCTGTACACTTTTCCTGATAATGTACCCTCCACGAACAGTTCTTCTTGACTACATCTCATTACACCTTGCTTAATGTCGATCTGACAACCATTTTTCCTGAAGTCTAGGCCAATGATGTAGTCGTCAACTATATCAGCCATGATGACGTTATGATGCTAAGATTGGTTGCCCAAACTAAACTTAAACTCCACCTTCTGTTCGCCTCGGACGAGTATGCGCTGACCAGTAGCTGTTACGAGGTCTATTCGATCACAGTTACATGTGATGGCCCTCAGAAATTGATTTGCAAGTTGGGAACTGACTACTGTGCGAGAAGCTCCCGTATCAATCTTCAGCTCGCATAGCGTTCCGTTGATTTCGCCTCTGATGACCAGTCTGTTCCCATCATGTGTTTGCGAGATCGAAATCCTTGGAACTCTTTGAACACCAGCCAGCACTCGCCCCGCAGTACAGTTAGCCGCTCTAATCTCCTGAGGCCGGTCGTCTTCACTGCCTATGCTTCGCTTAGGGCGGCTAGACCGAAGATGACCCTTTTCGCCACAGGCATAACATCTAGGGCTATACCCCTTAAGACGGTCCCGCACAGGCCACAACCTCCCGGACGCGATGAGACCGATGGTCTTGTCTCACGGTCTCTACCTCCAAAGCATGGGCTAGGGCGATCTTGAGAGTTTCATGGTGCCCAAGTCTCACAGCCGCTCTTACTTCGAGGTCACGAATGCCATCGATAAAGGCTTGCACCAGATTCCCATCAACGAGCGCAGGTGCAGACTGGTATGCCTTACAGACCAGTTTCTCAACTTCCAGGGCCCATTGTTGCAAGTTTTCACCGATTCGTTGTCCACGATCCTTCAGTTACGCACGAAACACGTGCTCCAGGTGAGCGTCACCATATCTTGCCTCCAATGCTTCCAACGTAACTATACGTTACCTTCTTACCGAGGGCTTCGAGGATCGTTAAGGCTTGATCCCGGAGACCTAAGGTGAGAGCGGTCATAGCCTGGGCCTTAGTCCAGCCAATCGCCGTCATTACAGCCTCAAACTGAATCTTGTAGGCAGTCACGCGTTACTTGCAGCGCCATCGAGCGCTGAAAGGATCAGAACTACTCGTATTAACCACAATCTTAATAGATGTACTTTAGTCGATACTAGATGGCGCTGTCCTCCACATTTCATAAAATCGAACATATATATTTCATAATTTCATTTAATCCTATGGCGCAACAATACATAATATATTGTCTAAATTTCTATGAAATGGATTATCTGTAGGAAGAGTATAATATTGTAGCTTTACTCTTTATTTATGCAAAGTACTTAGTCATTACCTATGAATTTGATAAATACTGTTATCGTGTAAATATATTTCATTTATATTGAAAATTATTTACCAGAATGTCAGACTCCTTTAAAGGTATGAAATAAAATAATAATTGAAAGTTGCCGTATAAATTGTATAAATTATTCATCTGAAGACTAGAAAAAATATTTTATATTTATATAATATTATATAATACTATTATCTTGTATATTATATAACCAGCTAATTACATTGAATGCATGATCTTATCGTTGTTAATAAACTATCACTCTGATGAATTATGTTTTAAATTTCTAAGGAAATACTAAAAAAATGTATTTATTTATACACGACGAGCTTACATAAAGTTAATAAAAATGTAAATTTGTTCAAACCAGATAAGTTTTTTGCTACGTAGGACTGCTAATTACTTAATTGTTTTTTTTTTACAAAGAAATGCAGATTATTAGAAAACAAGATTACTTTCGTTATTGCGGTTTAGAATTTTGTTTTTCTTAAAAATACTAAAAACTAGAGAGAATATGCACAAAAAGAAATACTGAAAAAACCGATATTTATCCTTTCCTAAGACCTACATTAGCGATATTTCTAATTAATTTAGAATTTTATTTTCGTAACAAAACACCTTAATATAGAAACTAGTCTATAATATGAGAATTTAAACAAACTCGGGTGTAAAACTCCCTGTACTATGACTGATATTACAATGCTATATAGGTACATTTGTTTTATCCAACATATATTTAATGTCGTAGGCGGAGGCGGATTAGGTATCAAGAGCGCTCTAGGCAAGCATCTCATCGGCGCCCCTCCCCCCATCTTCGCGCCTTTCAGGCGCCCATATTATATTATTAAAAATGTGTGATAGTGATGAATGATAACTCCAAATTTTATTTGTCCAATCTTTACTAGAACCTAATTTTTCTTATGTGTGGAAACCCATATGGGCTGTCACCCCCACCGAGGTTTGCGGTGGGGCAGTATATTAGAATCGAATCGAATAAAATACATACTGCACCTGAAATAGGAGGGATCCGATAACAGATTTTGTTAAGAAGTCCGGCCCTTTCTTTTTTTTTAGTGACAGATGGCCCCACTTGTCACCCCCAGGCCTGCACTTATGCAGGATGGAAGTTATTCAGCTACCTCCGCGGTTTGAGCTGCCTGCAGTACCTGGCCCGTTCCTTGACCCGGCGAACCGAGAAGGGCGAGGAGAGGGCCTGGGACCCAGACGTTGGTTTCTTCCGGAGCAGATACAGGTGATCTAGTACAGGTGGTACATTAGACGGTATGAGAGGGTCTCGTGTTTCCTCTCGAGCAAATCCTCCATAACGGGTGTTACAGGCGCTTTAATGGCGTGCGTGACGCTTGTTTGCACAACTATTTTCCTCCACTCGTCCATGAGGACCCTTCAAAGTTGAGATTTCTGGTCCTCGATTTCTCGAGTCACACGATTCCGACCCAGTACGAGCCCCAGATACCTCATTGAGGACTCGATGTCGATGCGAGTGCCTCCTATGCCTCAAATGTGTGCAGAGACACCTCAAGTCCCAGCCGCCGGCCTTACCGCACGCCGTCACGAGCGTGTCGTCTGCGTAACACATGACGGTGACTTTAAAAGTGCGGGCACCACCTTCGGGGATAAACTTTCCTTTAGAAGACGTCCGTCACACGACGACGTCACCTCCTCGTTATAGGCTTTCATGGTGAATGGAGGGGCAAGCCGTCCATCAAGAGACCACACACAGGGCGGCTCGAAGCGTTGTAAGGCATGCCAGCCATGGAGCGTGTAACGGCTGGTAGCGAGAAATCTTCTCAGATGCATGATGAGAGCCCGACGCTACGTTGACCAATAAGTACTGAGCCGAGTTCAAACTGAACTGCAGTGGTGACAGGTTCCAATCAATTCACTCCTAGCGATCGACTGCTGGTACCAAACTAAGCAGACGTGCCCAAAAAAAAAAACGGAAGGAGATTAAGATAATCGGACATGAAAATGAGACATTGTGTTAACTAATTGGTTAATTGACATATAGGTGTTTTCACTGTGATCAGTTCACGGTGTGAGGAAATCATGGCGTCGAAAGAACAAAAATGAAAATCGTTTAGCAAAAAAGTTAATAAAAGTCTCTAGATTTTCATATTTAATTCTAATCCTAGTTTTAATGTATTGTTAGGAATTATGTTTATATTGTAATAAATCTGTGTAAATAAATTATAATTATCAAATAGATTAAATTAAAGCATTAGCAATAAATGTATACTATATTTTTCTTGTGGCAACACTGACATCACGCGCTCGCGCTCCACAACGAACTAAGGGTGGGAGAGGCGTCGTGAAGTCAAAATTCACACGTGTAATTCCAATTTAAGAATGATTTGAAAATAAACTGTTACCAGTAAATTTATCTACACCAATCTGATAATTCGGAAATCTGAGGATAGTAAAACAAAGGTTATATTTGAAACTTATATATATTTACATAAACTGTCAATAAATAAAATTGTAATAGATTAATATTTAACTTAATTAAAGCTCCACCACTGTCAGTCAGCTGTCACCACCCCTATTCATCCCGTGGGTGTCGTAAGAGCCGACTAAGGGACCAAACTACGCAGGACAACAGCACTGCAAAGAGAAGGAAAACTTGAAACAAACCCTATACCAACCCGTCTGGCCAGCGTGGTATAGTAGGCCAAAACCTCCTTTCTAAGGAGAGGCCTATGTCCAGCAGTGGACTGTTATAGGCTGTTGAATTAAAGCTAATAGACACTAATCGTATCAATTCTGTGTAATAAGATATAATAATTTAATAATCAGGTTTTTGGTAAGGAATTGAGACAACACGTACAGACTAGTAGAAATACATATATTTTTATTATAAAACAATTTTGTTTGTACGTGTGTTTTTTTAAATCCTCACCTTTAGAATTTATGACAATTATTTGAAAGTTGCTTATTACAACTACTGTCATATAATAAAAAGAAATTAACTTTACATAATAAATAATGAACCTAAAATTACAATAATTAAAAAAATAGTTCACTATACAGAGTATTTTTTTCTTACGATAAAATCAGTTGTCCAGTTTGTAATTACAGTACAGCAGCGATGACTTCAAGGAAAATTACAAAAGTTACCGTACTAACAGTTAGTTTAGTTATGTAACACGTGTGTGTATCAATAACAGAAACTATCCTTTACTTACAAAAATCAAATTAATTAAAATAAAACAGTTTTTATGTAAAAAATATAAGTTTACTGTCTTCAGTACACATATATTTGGTTTCTAGTTCTAAAAATAAATACATACATTAATAAATTAAGGCGTGATTGATGAACGAATAAATATTCAACATTAAATAGTTGAGTTCAGTCTTCTCCTTTTTCATATTTGCTTCGTTAGTTTATTTATGTATAAGCTACCGAGTGAATGTTGCTTATAAAACGACAAATTAAGGAATTAACTTATAGGTACATGATTACGGACTTACATAAACGTTTTGGTAGTGAACAATAAATTAAGATAAAATGAACGTTTTGTTACATAACGATATATATCATGAATGTGAAAATGAATACATCAAGAAACAGTAACAGAATAATTTTAAACATTTTTCGGCGAAATTATTGCATTGGAATGTTGTGAGTGCACGTACCGATAGTAATCGTTAAATAGTATCGTTGAAAAACCATCTACATACATTAATGAACATAAAGTTTTTATTCTCATGTTATAACTTATTTAACATGTTTTTCGTATTTTTATTTTCATTTATTTACAATCCAAAGCTTTGTTAGATTACTATTTAATTATTTATACATAATTTTATACAGTAATTTATTTACTAAAGAAACTAATAATAATACAATCACAAGATGGTAATAAACAGAATAGCTTTTACATGAGGATGTCGATGTTTTTCTTTTGTCTGTCATCTTCTTCACAATTAAGCTTGATTTATTCGAAACTGAACTGAATTTAACGCAGACACAACAGAAAAGGATAATAATGTACAAACAATCTAGTTTTCATAGAGAATCCTTCATGAACAATCCTTTATAATAAAATCATTATGTGAAAATATACTACAAATACCTTTGTAACTTTAGCGAATAAATTATCTTAAAATGAATTAAATTATCCTACTAAACTCCAAAGCAAATTTCACTTTATGTATTTTTATTTTTATTTAAGTACAATACTTATGGTGTATTATTTAAAGAGACTTTCAAGTCAGCGGTTAAGTAATGAAGTGTAGTGTTCCAATCCATTTCCGTGATAACCGTAGTGCACGTTTGCAATTTCCGCATCTCTTCCTTTGAAAGAGTTATTGTTTTTGAAGGCGTTAAACATTATCAGGGTGAGCGCCAGTTTGCCCACTAAAAATGCCTTGATGAGCATGAATTTGAGTATTCCCAATACGAAGGGTATCAATGCTGACTGTAGAACGAAAGGCATAACGAATAGTGGTAGAATCCTCTGCATAAGCTTTTTCGATTTTGATCGACCTGAAAGTAATATGTTAAAACTGTGAGTAATATGAAGAAAATTACTATATTAAATCAGTGTTTTAAATTTGCGAGTTACCTTCCAGAATTAAATATAGTAGAGAATTATGTGGTAGACAATATTCAAATGAATTTCTGTTTTAATTTGAAATGTATAACATAGCTATATATTAATAAGTAAAGAAAATTATTTGTCGGGTACAAAAAATATTTTCTTTATTATGTTTTTAAATAAATATCGTACACGGAAGGTTATTACAAATACTTAATGTTTAGAAGAAGTAAAGAAGAAACTAAAATTTGGAAACAATGTCTTATAAAGTTAATAACAAGGTATGTAAAAACGGGTATATAAAATTCAATACGGGTCCAGTATTTAAAATATTTTCACCTGTCGTAAGACAAAAGTCTATAGAATGACAGTTATACTGTTCACTGAAATAAAACTAAACATTAAAAAAAAAAAATTAGACTTCCCGCGCACTTAAGTATACAACTTAGAATGTAATTTATGTATTTTTACGTAGATATTGCATAATTATATAAAATCAATTTAATTTTTTATAAGCCTTTTATGTACGTTGTCAAAATTCACCAAAAGAAAAAAAAATAGGTTACTTTTTAAATTCAAATAGCAATCTAAAAATAGGTAAAACCTTAAAACGACAGTGATTTATAAAAGCTATATTAAACATTTGCAGTGTAACAAATTTGATTTAGTTAGACTTTCATCCAGGAACTCATTTGTAGTTCAATATACCCAGAACACAATTAAGCCGTGAACGCATATCACGATGCTAAAATTGAATCATTCGTTGCTAGAAATTGATGTGTACACGTTTTACCGTGGTTACCTGTTTTATTCGCTATAGTATACGCGTCTAATAGTCTAAAAGTATTCCTACAGATTATAATTCCATTGGGTTTATGTATACCTTTTTTTTAGAGACTTTATAAAGGTCCGGTAACTACGAGTACATGTAGATACACTCGTTTAAACAACATAATACTCGTTCCTATACCTACCTGTTCTCGTGAGAGAAACTTTACCACCTTTCATATTCTCTTATTCAAGTTATTCCTAGGTTTCATTGCGATAGTGATATTAGCACAAGACCTGTTTTTTATTTTTTATATAGAAATAGACAAGCGTTGTGTTACTCATTTAGTGTTCCGAACCACCGTACAACATTTTGCTGTTTAAACTTGTTAGTTTCGTAAATTAACTAACATAAAAATTTCTCACGTCAACAGTTTAGTTTGGTGGGAGGAGGTGGGGATATAACTTAAAGAAAATTTTTCACTGAAATAAAAATAAAAAAAAAGGTGTTTTTTTTTTTGAATAGTCAATGTTTTTAATAGGGCTATATGTAATCACTTACTTTACGTGTAGGGAAGGTATGCTTAAAAGGTATGCTTGTTGAAAAAAAAAAGAGTGTGCTTTAGACCGACTGAAGTAATGAAGTAAAACTTCTTGGCTATAAGAGAAAGAGAGAAAATGTGTGCTCGCAACTCTCTCTCTCTCTCGCCCCTACAGTAATGTACGAAACGTAAGTCTCTCTCTTTCTATCTTCACTATCTTATATCTCTCTCTCAACTTCCGTTCGCCTCGCCCGATCACATTTTTCGTAAAGCCCTCGTCACGCATTCACCAGGTTACTCCTCAAGTCAAGCGTGAGTAAAGAAGTTTTACTTCAAAAAGATTTTTAAGTTTTCAAAATTATAGTTTTTTTTTAATTCACAATCTCTAAGATGAACATGGAGAAACTATACGGGTGCTGTCCCTGTAGGCAATGTTAGTGGCTACTAATAAAATGAAAATGTTAAAATGTTTTAACGGTATATATACCATCCCTACTTTCTTCTTAACTACTTTTGCCATGTACATTAGGGTGTCCCGTCAATGTATGGGATTTTTTTTTAAAGCGACGGCTACGCAAGAGGTATCAAAAGTTGCGTTTTTGTGAATAGATTACAAATATAACAAAATTTAATTAAAGATTTGTCATCTTTAGGCCTCTACCGATCCTAGAAGTTTTTCAAATTTGCCATTTTTAGAGGTTTCGAACATAAACTATAAATGATACAAAAATAATGTTTTAAAGGTTTTAATCAAATTTTTAGGTACTACAAAGACATAAGGTAATGTTCAGTAAAGTTTAAATACTTATAATTAGTGCTTATTTCAAATACGAAATTGGTTCTTGTGGCCAAAATTAGGATTTTAATCTGTTTCTGATTAAACCATCCCGAGCTGTAGCGTCCGTGACACTTAGAGAAGCCTCCGTCACTAGCTTTACACATCTTTCCACTGATTGTGTATGACAGGGGAAATCAATAACATCGAAGTTTTGTTCTTTAGCCTTAATTCTCAGTTCGTCGTCGGACATCTGTCGCAAAATCGGTGGAGCGGATATCTCACACTCTTGCCAAAATATCAAATCGATGTAATATCGCGCATCGAAGTTAAGTTTTGGTATTGCTTATTTCTGCTTCTCTTGCCTTTAATATTTTACGAGCTGCAAGCTCTCGAATATGCTCTCTGTCGTCGAATAGCATGGTAACAAGTAAGTTTTCAGGGTGAGCAAAAAAAGCGTTTCTCTCGATCACTGAATTCACAATAGATCTTTGCTTATCAGGCAAAAATCGGGAGTATGTAACCATTTGAAAAATATGATTGGCTCCATCTTTGAATGATGAGTTTTTCTTAATGAGGAACCAAACTGGAGCATAAACTTTGACCACATAATTGACAAGCAGCTTTAAATTATTTGATGGCGAAACAGTACTTACATAAAGTCTGAGTATGCGATTGGCAGTAGTTAGCCATCTTGAATGCGCCATTTTTCCAGGTTGGCGGCTCGCTAACTCAGGGGAACAAGAACCAGTCGTCACAGCATGACACATTTCATACAGATACTTTTGATCCGTACTTAGTTCCTTCACAATGTCATCAGGTAATTCGAGCAAATTGCCAGCCACTGCACAAAAAGACACTAGTGGTTTACTTTCACAAACATTTAGCTGTTTTCCAATAGGTCCTGAGTATTCTTTCGGCCCAGATGTGCTACCATCTAAAGACATAAACAAATGGCGAAGCGGTAATTAATTTGTGTGAAGCATACAAACACACCATTGTAACGGTCTCTTCAAATAATCTTCCAGGTATTTAATGACACCTCCTTTCCAACCTGTATTTGTAGGAGTGCCATCGCAACCCACACAACTTACTTCTTCTAAGTTCCATCCTTGATTTTCTAACAATTCTATAATAGAAGTGACAATCCCTTTCGCAGTACCTCGACTCGGCGTCGTATGTCCCAAGTAAATAGATCCCGGCTCTGTAAGAACTGAAATGTGTTCTTCTAAGACTTCTTTTCGGTGGTACCGGCTGTCTATTTTATTGATCTTGAGAGTTTTATCTTTTCGCCCGTGGAAGTAGATAAGTACTCTTTATAATAATTTTATCGATGTCTTTGCTGGCTTGGGTACGTGACTTTGAAACAGCTCTGTGAATCTTATTTTTATCAATCACAAGGTTTAGATCTTCGGAAGATACCATTCCTACGTCAACTAAGACTGCTGAAGCGACTGCAGCTGCCGAACGCGTTGATAGTCCGTATCGATCACACACCTTAGCTACTGTTGGCAGCGTCAGAGTGTTCCGACTAAATGAATTAGATGGAGACTCCTTTAAGTCACTTTTAGTAGAAGGTTCTATTAAAAGCGACTGTGAACGAGGCGGCAACACGCGTACCGGTACAGTATCGGTTTGTGAAGTACTCGGAAAACATGCTTGCTCTGTCCGCTTCAAATTTTTTTGTCTTTGATGTTTATTTAAAAGCCTTGCAGTTTCTTTTGCGTCTACGCCGCTTATTGCCATTTTCCTATCATTTCCTTGGTCCAGTAAAAAATCTCTTTCAGAAATGGGAACTTTCTTGGGTTTAGTGCAGGAACAATTTTCAAACGAAGTGCACTTACAAGCAGCGATGTCAAAAAGCTTATTTGACGATTCCAAAAAGCACTTAACTTTGTTGTCATAGCTATCGTTTCTCTTACTTTTAGGATATCTTATTAGTGATAAATATTTGTTAAAATATGCGGTTAGCAGTTGAGTAACCCGTACGTTAGAAACGATGGGAATTGAAGCTTTGGTCCAAATTGTGTTAAGTTTTCCAGAAACTATTGAAAAGACTTCTGTGTTCGATGGATCTTTTCCGTTTTTCTGTAGTTTTAATTCACTTTTAGTAAATAAAATGCACTTAATAACGTCTTTTATAACAGGTAATTGGCGATCGTCAAGTTCTTTATAAGGTCCCAATATGGTACAAGGAGTCTCACTTCGCCTTGAACACATTTTTATGATTAAGTAACGCAAATTACGTTTTTCTTTCAAAGAAGAATAAAACAACTCCTTACAAGAGTAAAATCGAAATAGAAATGAGACGAACTGTCTTGTTGTAGAAGTAGCGCACGTACGAAAATCAAGTCAAAACATGAATTTTGTAGGAATTTTGCACGTCCGATCCAAACCGATTGATCGCTAAAACAACCTGTCGATACTTGCAAATCATAGCCGAGGCTTTTCTTATTGATAAAATTACAAGACAAAACAGGATTGATTCATAAAACATAGAATATACGACATTGACTACAAGGTTGTTTTTGCGAATTTTCATTAAATAAAAATGCTGGTAGAGCCCTAAGGATATTTTTAAATATTTTTTGAATTATTTTAAATCTACGTCTAACAGCACAACTATTGAGAGGTCTTAAGTAGCTAAAATAAGAATTAAAAAAAATCGGGACACCCTAATGTACATTAACAACGGGTACTTGTCAATAGTTATCTAATCAATCAATCATAATTGTCCCAGACCAGCACCCAGCCGCCTCTCATTAAACATGAAAGTTTGACCTCGCATTCTGGAAACCCTAGCACATTCATCATAACCTTAAAGTTTTATATATTATTAATATGTAGGTTTATGTATGTATGT